AACATTTTTTTTACGAAAATGCAAAAATAAACCTTATAATCTTCCAAGTCAGTGAATATACCAATAAAAGATGAACTGTTTTGAGAATTCAAAACAGTTCATCTTTCTAATCATCCGTTTATTTAGATACAAAATGGACGTAAAAGGCATAATGAAGTCGCCTTGCTGATCCAATTAAGCAAAGACAGATTGTCAGCCATCGTTCACGGGGCCTGAAGGGGATACAAAACTTATCAAGCATTTTGATCGCATTACTTCTAAAATGGATTAATTTTGGTGCAGGTAACAATATTGTTATTTTAGTATCAATAGATATTGTGATTGAAATTGTTTTGGCAAAATTATCCTTAGGTACATGTAATGTCTTTGCATACAGCTTCTCTGTAACATTTTAAATATCTGTTTAAACCCAATAGGGTTAGAGACCCAATCCTTCGTCCCGTCCCGGGGTTGCGGGGTAAGCGCAATGAGGCACCGCGACCTCGGCCCAGAGCAGGAGAAGGAACAGGGGGGTTTTTAGTCAGTAAGAGTCTGACACTCCCTCCTGCCCGGCCCTGGGCGGGAGAAGTCATTTGATGATTTTCCCCTCACAAAAAAAAACCTTCGTCCCTCCCTCATCCTCAACTCAACTTCTTCGTGTGCGAAGAGGCCTTTGCTCAGCAGTGGGCAGTGATTGGCTGATGATGTAAAATGAAGGATATTAAAGTTAAATATGCAATAAGTGAATTAAGTACTTGAATATTTCTATTGTATTCTTTGAATATTTCTATGGTGATTATAAAGAAATTTAACTGCACGGTTGGCGCGGGGCTGGGCGACTGGCTGCCGTGCAACCAGCACTTTGTGTGATCCACAAATTGTTGTTTCGCGTCTGGGTGTCAAGTGTATGTTTGTAAACGCACCCACGACACAGGAGAACAATCTAGTGTGGGGCAACGTTTTAAAAAAAACAATAAACAATTTGATCATTTCCAAACATTTGGTTTCTTATGAATCACAGTTAGTACGTAAATAAAATATTGATGAAAACCTTTTACTAAAACCCACATTAAAAAAAAACAATTAGGTAAGTTCATATTTGTACATTATTTTATTAAACACAATGTAAAAGCAATTCCTGCTATACATTAACATCACAATTTCTGTAACTATCCTTATTAAAACTAACAGAGATTATGAAAAAAAAACAGTCAAAAGAGGTCGCGTAAGGAAAAATTAACGTACCTACTTAGACAAAAGCTACATAGTTAAAATAATAGCCGAGTAAGGAATGGATGACTTAGCCGACCATAAATACCTAATAATAATAATAATCCAGTCAATAAAAATTGTATATAACGACCTGGCGTACAAAATGTAGTCATGTATATATCTAATAAACAAGTACAGGAAAATCATAATGACATCACCTATAGGAATGGTATTAATATAACCATCAAACAAATACGTATCAAGTCCTACATAGTAACGTTTTACCAATATACTTGAAATGTTAATTAAAAATAGGTATATTTATTCGAGAAAGTCTTATGAAAATATGTTTAACAGTTTTGAAGTTTAACACGATCATATTATTTGTCCGAAATGTATTTTCTTTTTAATAAGAACTCAAATTACTGATAAAAATATTTTAAGTTATAACTAAGTACGTATATAACTAAGGAAAAACATACAATAAGCCGTTTAAAAATAGATATTGTTAGCTGTCCATTTAAATGTATTTTGGTATAGCATTCGCCCGAATTGTGGATAAAAAGTAGCCTAATTATGTATTAATCTAGGGTAACCTATCTACAAATTAAGTGTGGGAGAGCCATGCTTCGGCACGAATGGGTCGGCTCGACCGGAGTGATACCACGGCCTCGCAGAAAACCGGCTTGAAACAACCACAGCGTTGTGTTTCGCCGTATGAGTGAAGTTACCGGAGGCCCAATTCTTCCCCACCCCCAATTCCTCCTTAATCCCTAAATCTCCAAATCCCTAATCCCTAAAAGGTCGGCAACGCACTCGTTATGAGCGAGTCCATGAGCGGCGCTGATTACTTACCATCAGGTAATCCGTCTGCTCGTTTGCCGATCTATTACATAAAAAAACATACCAGAATTTAACCAAATCGGTTCATCTATTTTCGCGTGGAAGAATAACAAACTTACATACAACCATACATTCTCAAAAACTTTCACATTTTTAATATTATTACAAAGATTACCCCCTACATACAAACTTACTTTTACATCTTTATAATATTAGTATAGATAAGTAAATAAGTATTATAGGTATATACGTACACATAATAGATTAGGAAGTAAGATACTTCCTACATTATGAGAGTACTAGGATAGAATGTACTTAATCTCAATTACAGCTATTATTTAAGTTAAAATAATGGTAAATTATACTCTAAATCATCTATACTAACTATTATAAAGACATATTGTAAGTTTGTATGTAGGGGGTAATCTTTGGAACCACTGGTCGGATTCCCATAATTCTTTCACTTGTTGATAGCTACAATGTTCCCGAGAGCCATAGGCTATAAAACATTACGCTACAATCAAATGGAGCCGAGCAGCGAGTGAAGCCGTGCGGGAGTAGCTAGTTAATTGATAATTTTACTAAAGATTACTTGTTTAGTACGGATAAATCAACCATAAGACTGCTTATAATTATATTTACATTTAATATTATGTCATTATAAAATACCTACCTACTATTAAGTTAGAATAATAAAGGTCTTTAGGTTAAGCTACCGTTTCAATTTGCAGTCTGTAAATTATTATTGTAGTTACGTAACAATTAAATATTTACATAACGGAAGTATTTCCCTTTCTTCCCGTATAATTAGAATAAGCACTGATCTTTCAATGGTAGAGAAATATTAATTAAAACAATAAACATCATATGTCTAGGATAAAATAAATTTATATCAAATAAAAAAAATAAAAAAATAAAACGTAATCACCAAAAAGACTTTTGTTGCCAACAGCCAGGCCATGTTCCAAATAGTCCGAATTGCTTCCGAAATCCGCGCCATTTTTATTACGTCACACCGAACTTTTCAAATTCCAATTCGAATTTGTTTTTATTTTTTTGTGCAATGTTTTTTTTATTTGAGTGACTAAAATAATGCATGTATTTCGTAATTTGTTCTCATTCCTCATTTACGGATCAAAACTAAATGTTATGAGAAAACAAATGGAATTAACATAAACGAACAACATAGTGAAAATATCTTTTGAATGGAATACACAGCCGAGCGCACAGAAACGTAATTACTTCATCATTACATTCTCTATGACCTAACATATTCACAGATGCCACTCGTATTTTGAATACTTTTGATGCAAAAATATTTCGTTTCGTACCTTTTTAATAGTAAAGAGATCTAAAAAAACCCCTTCAGCCCTCTAGATTTTTGTGGTTACATTAATTTAATCACAAATTCTAGACGGGGCACTAAATTAGAAACACAAAAACTCAAAAATTAAAAATTACCAATTCAAAATTCACTTTCCGTATCGCGAGGAATGAGAACAAACTCCAAATTTGAAAAGACGCGCGAAAATTTTTGACAGATTTTTTTTAGAGTAATGAATTAGGCACAGTGTTGCGCGGCGGAAAGAATCAAAACCACTGGAAGTAATTGTGAGACGTATAGTTTACTCTGTGAAGAGAATTTTGGAAAGTAGAGGCATCAAGCGAAACGGTACTGAGCATTGAAATTAATGTATCGTCGCCTACGCCGCGTGCACAGTGGCGAATTGCCGTGAAATAGTGGTATTACTCTGTAATGTGATTTGTGTTTTTTCTTACTAACAATTAGATATTGTACCTGGTGATTTAGCGATCCGAGGATTCCTATTACACTTATAATCTATCTTCAGTTTAATGGATGCGTTGATTGACTGTAAATAATATTTTTATTGCATTTCTTTTATAGTTTTCTAGTAGGTCGAGATTTAGTAGGTTTTTAACTCTATGCTATTCGGCCCCAAGAGGTCATAAACGGCAACTGTTATGTATAATAAATATTTTATGATGTAGTGCATCGTGTTTATATTTTACCGTTATTTTAGCTTAAATAAAAGCTTTAAATTTATTTAAAAACATAATACCTCGTTTGCCCTATTTATTTATTGATCAAGGTATGAGTGGCTGTATGTCTGACAACCCAAAATTATTATTTTTAGTGTTTATAATACTAAAGTACACTTCTAAAAAAATGTGCTTCTTAAACTATTATCTACCAATATGGCTGAAACCTAATGTGGTCAAGAAACGTTAAATTAGTATATATGAGCAGATTAATTCTGTAGGAGATTATCAATGCGTGGCGACGCTTACGTCCGCGTCTCGTTAACTATCAGACAGCCTGTTATTTTGTGGATAGTGATAGCCACTATGACATGTGAAAAAAATATACACGTTTATAATTTTTGCGATCAGTAGATGGCGCTAGTGATGCGTAAAGTAGGTATTGTCTTAATTCATTTTTTATAATCATTGTTACAAGGTGGCTGACAGTGGTTGGATGAGAAGAACTGAACATCGAGCTGAGTGGCGTGCAAATAGGGAAGTCTGTGTCCAGCAGTGAATAAAAACAGGTTGATGATGATGATGGATTAATTGGACTTAAAAATAAAGTTTTAGCAAAGATACAAAAAGGAGATTGTTGACACCAAATCAATTACAAGTCTCCTGAAGTCATGTTACACGGTATTCAACCTTCTAATACTAACAACCTTTTTGACAGTTAAGCAAACATAATTTCAAAGGATTTTATAATCACCCAAGGTCAAGAAAAGGCAGCAAAACTAATTCCAACAGTACAAAAGCCAAGTTTAAAATGTATGACGGGACTTAGGAAGGGTATTACAAAACTTCTACGTCGGTAACTATTTCATAAGTTTGAAATGAAAATTATCGGCCTTATGACTACGAAAGGGTCAAAATTATGATAATGAGAATAGCTCAAGTCTCTAATGTTTTAAGCTATTACAATGAAGAGAAACATGTTCATAGTCTTAAATATATCTAAGTAAGTTCCAAATTAATTGCAAAAAACGACCTAATCGCGTGAATCAACTGAGAAGCTCGACTAGTTTCAAGACACGACGGAACTCTTATTCATAATTAACGTGATATTTTTTATATCATAAGTCTCCTAGCGAGCTTCCTTTTTACGGTAAGTAACTAGCGCCGCCCATGGACACCAAAGGAGTTCCTACAAGAAGTACATGGCCGGCCTCTTGGGGGTTATGTGGGATTAAAGGACAAGGGATTTAAGGATTGAGAATGGGAGGAGGGGGAGAATTGGGATTCACGTAGTTAAAATAGAAAAGAGTTTTAGATCCCTACTATTTGCTCTTTAATGAGAGAATTTGCTTGTCACTGTCGTAAAATTTGGAGACCTTGTGAAACACTGACAGTTATTTTCAGGCACTTTGAAATCAATCTCTAGATCTCCTTTTTAAGGGGCCAGTATCTCTAAATAACTGACCCTGATCCTCTTGGTGGAACGAGAGCACGTTTCAGACTCTTTCTAACTAAAAACCATCCCGTTCTATCTCCTGCTTCGAGCAGCACAAAATTGAACTTCCCTCCTTCCTTACTTGGGAGTCTCTCGATCAAAAAGGCTATTAAGAGGCTACAAACCTCCCATTAAAATAATATCTTTTATATAAAACGGCAATTTTATAATCATAGATAGGATACTATTAGCCATTTAATCTGTATATGCTTCCAAAACCTCATTAGCATATTTTAAATGTCTATGGAACGTAGAAATGTAAAATATGCTAATGAGGTTTTGGAAGCATATACAGATTAAATATGGCATAGATATGGAATATAGCATATAAGTGGTAAAGATTATTTATGTTTATATACCTAGTTAAATACATAACGTCTTTACATAACCAGTTATAATATTGTATAAGCTTTAATATTGTTATAATGTCAGTTTCAAGAAATTCTCTTTCAAATTGAAAGTATTGCAGAAATATTAAGATTGTGGCTTTGATCTGACTCATCAGCTTGGTCGTAAAATCTTATCGAACATGAATGTGATCTTCACTTTAATTCTACATTTTAGTAAAATAAAGTATTTATTAAGTTTTCAGACTTCTCATTAAGAATACGAATTCTGTATCTGTGTCCGTTTTGTTATCAATTACGCTCTGTTATTTTTTTACAAGACAGGGCTGTAAACAAGCATATGGATCATTTGAAGGTAAGCAATCGACGCCGTCCATGGACACCCCCCGCAACGCCAACGGAGTTAAAGTCCGTTGCTGACTTTTTGTGGGTCGCTAGGATATTTTTTTGAAGTAGTAAAATCATCACTTTTATTGCCCAGGATGGTGGTTTTTAGTCAGTCCCTTACTGACTAAAAACCACCTTAAATGTGCTTGCCCCGCAACCCTGGCAAGTTGTTAGGGATTTACAAATGTAGAGCATCTATAAATGAAAAGTCAACGAATTTTCGACATGTCCTGTGAGTATTCACTGAGAATTAAGGTATTTATATTAAACAAAGCAGCTTAAGGCATTAGTAAAAAATACGATATAACATAATACTATCTAAATTGTAAAGAATAAAATAAAACGTAGACGATTATCGCCCACTGCCTACCCCACCCACGAAGTGAAACGTTATATACAATGACTCAACTGCATAACTTTACGACCATAAGCAGACTCCTCAACAATCTCAACCTTTTATCATATAAGTATACCTAAGTGAATTAGTACCCCGGCTTCGCATGCGTTATTTTTGTGAGTGGAAAATCATCAAATGACTTTTCCCGCCCAGGGAGTGTCAGACTCTTACTGACTAAAAACCCCCCCGTTCCTTCTCCTGCTCTGGGCCGAGGTCGTGGTGCCTCATTGCCCTTACCCCGCAACCCCGGCGGAACATTAGCCCTATAGGGCCCCGTCTGTGGTGGTTTATTATGTCTTTGAGGCGCGAGCAGAACGCCGTACGCTCGGGTCTGGTTATGGTCGGGCGACGACCTACCCTTACTAGCCGTCCGCAGACCCGCGCTTACGGTGGCCGGAGATCGCCTCTCGATCAAGCATTGCACGAGTGCTGCTGATACTAAAGGGGAATGCCAATTTTAGGCCCAGAGCTGCACAACGAATTGGTTTCAGTAGAAAAATACCTTGTTATTTTACTCATGTCTTGCATATATTCATAAGTCTGTGCATGATGGGATATTTTTTCAAAATCATTAAATAGATATGAAAATGACTAATCTTAGGAAACATAAAAATATTTTCAAGATGTTGCCTTTACAAAAAAAACTACCAAGAATGAATCGGAACAATAATAGTTATATTATTTTTAATAGACAGAGATATTTTTCCGAAAAGAAAATGAATTAATGAATATCATGTAATGGAAACTAATATTATTTCCATTAAAGAACAATTTTTTTGTGAAATAATAATATAATCGATCTATCGATTTTTTCTTCTTATGGCAACATCAAGTCAACTTTTGACAAGCCGCCGGAAAAAGTTAATGTCAAAATCATTGCTTGTTTGTTTACTTACGACTTGTGTATACTAATCGTGGTTTAAATTGACTACTTTCACTCATTAACTTTGAGGATTCTCCTATCCTTGACGACTACAGCCTGATTATGGATTCTGCTCCTGCTACTCATGACGACACTGGTGATAAATTGGATTTAGTATTAGACGCTTTGGCTTACGAACCCGGCATTCAGTCTGGACTTAGTATCGACAATGTTGATTTGGTATTTACTCTGGACCTAGTTATTCACAACAGTCATCTACTGCTGTGAGTGGTGATCTACGTTGTTTATACTGCGGTTTGAATGTATCTAGAATTCGAAGACATACTTAGGAAATCACTGAAGTTCGAAATCTTGTACAACGATGGATTAGCCAGGTAATTAATGATCATATATATATTTAAAATCTCTTAGTACTTAATAGTATTTTAAAAGTACTTTATGTGCTGATTTTGTAACTGCTCTCATCTTTTCTTGTAGGTACAAGTTTCCAGTGATAGTCTAGTGTGCCATACATGTAGGACAAATGCTTGGAATGAAATGCGACATACAACAAGATTTGAGCCAATTATTGGCCATGTAAATGTATGTGTCATCACTGTGGCACATCATTTTTAAGGTAACAATCACATACATGGAATACAAACACTACTTGTGAAGCAGATTTTCAAAACATTACTGTTAATAATGAGATATAAGAGAATTCCCTGGTATAAATATAAATAAGTGATTTAATATTGATTGACTTATTAACTTAAGCAAGCTTGCTCATACTATGGCGAGCAAATGAGATTTACCGGGGCATACTGTATAGAAGTATGTACTAATAATAGTAATAGAACAATCACTATATTTGCACAAATCTGTTCACTGGTAACGACCAGAATCGCTAGTCGTCATGTTCGTCGCAAAAAGCTGTATATCGGTTTTAGTTGGCACTGTTGACACAGGCCATGCAGCAGTAACTGTATTGGTGGCTGGCGTACTGTAGGATGCTGTGCTTATGTCATGACCGTGATAATAATATGGTATTTAGGATGGACGAGGCATCAAAATAATGTATTTCCACCCGCACAATTTGTTGATGATGTTTTACTCATATATGGTGATGATAAACAAGAATAAATATGTAAAACTAAAGGTGTTTTGTGTTATTTTACTCCAAGTTATTATGCTTTACACTTCCACACTATAAAATTAAAATAATTATTATTTTGTTTTTTTAACGTCACTAGTGTTGATGAAATAATAAAACCTTTAATAACTTTTAAGTGCCAAGTATTTTTGATATAATTTCTTTTACCAATTGATTATTGGAATTACCCTCTATTATAATCATGAACTTTTATTTGTGTGCACAGTGGGCCTAAATTACTATGGGGGCTTGGCATTCCCCTTTCTTCATTATTAAACGGATATTAACCTACCTCTTTAATCACTCTATCTATTAAAAAAAACAACAATTTTCAATGTTAGTACGAAACTACTAGGCTTCTCATGCATGAGGGTGCAGGTACCAAAGTGACTTCTCCGAGTTATAGTACTTTCTATGATTATTTAGACACCACTGACATACGGCGAAGGAAAAGATCGTGAGGAAACCTTGTTTGAAATCGCCAATACGCCTTGAGCTTGCTCATGGTGATTAATGCTCACACCTTTCCGTGTGAGAAGAGGCCTTTGCTCAGGAGAATGTACATATGTAAGTAAGTATTAGGGTCGAAAATCGACAAAATTTTTCGTCAACATAGTTTGATTTACTGATAGTACGTACATATATGTATGTCTGTACCTACTGGGAGTAGGCTATTTCTATCATAATGTAAATAATATAATATGTAGAATTGAAGGTTACTGCAAAACTCATACATTCCAAAGTATATAGTCATAAGCAAATACATAAATATTAGTATTACACCTTTTCTCAGAATTGTTAAGTAGAAGCAAATATGTAGATTTAAAATTTAGCACTTTCTGTCATAAAAGACCCTGTTAGAGCGACTAAAATTCACCACAAGGGGGTAGGAGAAGTATAAGAGTTGTCTTTGTTTGTTTTATTAATGCAATCGATGCCGAAACTAATAGACTGATTTGGATAAAACATATCGTCTCTAGAAAACTTATTTTTATCGGAGACATCGGCAAACGACACAATCGCGGGACCTGATGGTAAGCAATCGTCGTCTATCGATACCCGTAACACCATAGAAGATGCAAGAGCGTTAGTGGCATTTGGGTTATTCTTAGAAATATCGGATTTAGGAATTGGAATATGGAGAGGGGCATTGGGCCCCCAAAAATCTAACTTTGCGAACAGCCATGTACCATGGAGTTCATGGAATTTAGAGTTCAAAGATCCTGAACAAATGTAATTTAATATTTGCATGATATTTACCATGTAGCTAAAACATGATTGTACTTTTTGTAAAACACCTTTATATGCGAATAAATATATTATTTATTTTTATTAAATTCTTTCCTTTCACGGGACCACAGGGTCCCGGACCTTTGGAAGGCGTACGAGGAGCCGAAGCCAACTCGCAGAGGCCCCTTGAACAGTTTTACTCTGAATGTGATGGGACATCAGCCGGCAATTATCCCTGTATGCACTATATAAGTGCACCCAAGGACAATCCCCGGTTGATGCAGGACTATTGCGAATTGTGGTAAAAATTGATAGGGTTATAGGTATGGGTTGATAGGTATGGACTGGTGGATATGATAACTATGGAAATACTATGGCCCCTGCCCCTGACCAATATTGATACATACGAATAAACAGGCAGGGGGTGACTGGCAAACTCAATTAATGGGCCCCCGGAAACGGCCGCTAGCATGTAGCGACACGGGGGCAACATACGTTGAGCTGCTTGGGGAAGGAGAGGCATCCCACGGCTATCAGAGCAATCCCGGAAGTACGGTCAAGACCCCTACCAGCACCTTACTGAGATACATCCTTCCCCCGAGTCTCCTTCAACTCCTACTCTTGCGAATCTCCACTCAAGCCAGCCAATTAAGGCAAGAATGAGGTAGGAGGGCTTGTTCTTCATCAGTGTTCACTCCAGCTCGTCACGAGGACTAACCGGAGAGAGAAGAACAAGACACCTCCCGGGAGTCAGGTCCGTGGGGTCGCCACTGCCCAACAGCTCGCCACAAGCTGCCTTGCGGACCAAATTAAATTAAATTTAATCATTATCAAATCGGTCTCTGGTTTAGTTCATTGGCTTATAAACGCACGCATTTTATACAAATATTACTACAGGATCGAGACGCATTTAAAAATCAACTTATAAATTACCTACAAAAATGATCAAAGGCGAATGATATAAATTAAAAAGATGTAAAAAAAATATATTGAAAAGTAAGTGGAAATTATTTTGCACTTAAGTAAAAATCGCGTGTCTTACTACCATGTGTTGCAAACTTGCAACATTAATTATGCGTCATACATTATTAATGTATTCTTCTAGTCTATGGTTTAATAACAATAACAAATAATTATATAATTGCTACTTTTATACTATTTTCTTCTATAAAAATACTTGATATTTCGTTGAATTCTCTAATTAAGAGCGTTATTACGTAATTTTCATCGGTATTTTATTACTTAGTTAGTATTAATATTAGTTTTTATATATCTGGTTAGCGTTCAGAATCATCTCTTCCAATTAAAAACAACAATAAAAAAGAAATATTTTGATTCTAATATTTTTCTTAAATTTAGTTTTTTAACTTCACGTTAAGTAATTGCATTTTATTTAGTACATAATAGATGTGTTATAGAAGAGACGAGTTATTTAATTTTAGGTACGATTTCCAAACAATAAAATAATAGAAATTGTTTTTAATTAATTGTTCAAAATTAACAATGTTTTATATCCACACTCACAAATAAATAAAACTTAGTCTACAGAACTAGCTTATAAAAAAGAATAAATAGCTAAGTTCTCTTTTTAATTTTGAATACATTCCATTTATGAAACCCTAAAATATTGTTCATACACGACAAATTGAATTTCGAACACAAACAAAACTATGACCTCACTTATCGAATTCGAAAAACAAACGCAACGATTGACTATAAAACACTGGCACATAAGTTTATCGATCAGTAGTGAAAATGAGTCAGAGTTAAGACCGAACCCAGTTTCCATATTTGTAAGGCAGACGCATTTACGCCGGTTAATTAGCTTAAAATTAGCACTATTTTAAACCTGTCAAGGGTGGCGGGACGGGTGACGTCATTTCACCCGTCGTTTTTATTTTTTTCGCAATGAAACGGCACGAGCTTTGTTTATAAGTCAACAACTGGGTAATGAAAAACTATTTTTAAATAATTGTGGTATAACTTTGTTGATTGTATTCGGGTATTAGATCGAGAAATATGAATTATCTACTGAAGTTAGGTGTCTATTTGAACTTAGGACTAAAAGTTAACACGATTGTGAATCTTGGCCAGCTAGCCAAACGATTTCGACAAGGTTATATTATTACGGCTTTATAAAGTGTAGGTCAATGTCACGCCAAACATAAATAGATGAGTGTCAAAAACAAAACCTTACAAAAAACAATGAAAACTTAACAGAACACATAAACAAAACAACTTTTTGCACACTTATAAACACTATCACAGCACAATTTAGTCTTTAAGACACGGAACGTTATTTGAATAAAAATTTAAGCATTATTTTAGTACGACGGGTTTAGTCGCGTGCTCAGTTCAGACTGGATGATTCATCCCATCCATTCGATGGAGGAAAAAAAACATAACTTGTATTAGGTCCGCAACACACGCGCGGTACACACAATTGTGACTGTGTTCGAGAGAGCATAACCGAGCAACGGAACTCGATCTTGTATAGGATTTCGCGTTACTATATCTTACGTTGCTAAAGTTATTTGCAGAAGGTTTATACAGAAACTTGTGTTAAAATAAATTGAGGTCTAGAGTTTTTGTTTTATCATTCTACTACTACTATTTTAAATCAGATGGATGTTTATTACTCTTTCACGTAAACTATAAAAAATAATGAACAATCTTAATGAAATTTGACTTAAAGTTTGAAGTCTGGAACAATATACATATAAGCTTTTTTCAAGCATTGAATCTAGAAGTTCTTACTTTCATAGGTTCGCAATAAAATTGAAACGCACAAAAAAACATAATTAAATGCTTGCGTACATATATTATGATTTCTACAGCCAGATTTTGATTCTCGACTAATAAAAATTGAATGATTATGAAACTAATAGAGTATGTTTTAGTTATTTTTAACCATAACACTAAATAAAGACAATCTTGGAATGCTTTTTTTAGTCTTTAAATAGGAAAATAAGTAAAAATATAGAAGTATTTAATTGTTTGACTTACATAAAGTGTTTCAAAAAGACCAGGCCTGTTTCAAGCCATGCCGGGGCTCATATTCGTGAGTCACACGGCGACGTCAATCACTAAGCAATTTAGGATAATATTATATTCGTTTTGTGCTATGTGGTACTACTGTCTCACATGTCTGTCCGTATATTATGGTTGAATTATCACAGTGGGTACGTGTTGTTGTTATGTGGTATTAATAAATGTATTAATTAATACACGTCTGGGCGTGTCCAGATTTCAGTATTACGTTACGTGAGGTTTTGTTTGCAATGCTGCAGCCATCTTGTTTCAAAAGCGTGATATTTTTGTGAGTTACGGTACAGTGGTAGGTGACTTTTAGACGATAAATTTATGAAAGAGAGATAGTTAGAAGGAAAGAAAGAAAGATAGTTCCGATTATTACTTTTTTTATTATTCAAGGCGCAAGTACTATTAATGTTATCAAGAGGTAAAATATGTAATTTGTAAGTTTGTGTGCAGACTGCAGAGGGTAATCTTTGAAACCGCTGGTCGGTGGTATTCCTCTAGCATGCGATCAGTCTCTCAGACTATAATTAGGAGGGATGCAAGAGGTTGGCGGGGTAGAGTCACTGCTCCAACTCCCCTTAGTTAGTTAGCACATCGGCTCTCTTGAGTCCTATAATCGGGTTTGGCTTTAAAAGCAAACTGGATAACGGGTTTGGGTGAGTTGTCAAGCGGTCCCTATTAATGGTTGCGTAGCCTTTGGCTGCATCCAAAATAGTTGGGATTACAATAAACTAAATTTAAATAATATTTGTATGTATTTTATGAGTGTGGGAGTGCCATGGGTCAGCTCGATCGGAGTAATACCACGGCCCTACAGAAAACCGGCGTGAAAAACAACCACAGCATTGTGTTTCGCCTTGTGAGTTTATCGGAGGCCCAGTCCATCCCCTTCCCCAATTCCACCCCAGTCCCTAAATCTCCAAATCCCTAATCCCTAAAAGGTCGGCATCGCACTCGTAACGTCTCTGTTGCGGGTGTCCATGGGTGGCGCTGAGTGCTTACCATCAGGTAATTCGTCTGCTCGTTTGCCGATATACTTCATATGAGTACAAACTCTTTAATAAAAAAGACATAGGTACCAAGATTGTTTACCTTTACTTAACCAACTAAATCCAAAGACAAATTCGAATTAAATAAAGAAGAACAAATCAAATTCTACAGATAATGAAAGTGTTGAAAGTAAAATTATATCCATTCCAATTCCTCTTCGCTATATATAATGTATATATTCGAGTTAAATCCATACATATGTACTTACAAAGAGGTCACTCAATGACTATTGATTCGCGTATGTATCTATGTATTCACCAAAATATCGCAAATCATTGAAGATATTGCCATGACCGGCCATTTTGTCTAGTTGTGTAAGAGTCTGTACAATGACGTGTTAATATTTGTGTACCATTGTGTATTATCATACACACTTTCTATTTAAATACATTCTGTTTAAATAAAGTATAAGGATGTGAACGATCGTACAGTTACCTCGTTGACTGGGCAACTCTATAAGACTAGAGTAAAACAATGCAATTAGAATGACAAATTACTCCGCAAATCTTGTGTTAAAGAAAACTTTGGGCCAACAACTATTACTCTTAGTAGGTAAGTCACTTTTGTGATGAACCCCATTGAATGATTACTTTCTACCTTCAACAGTCAACGTCTTCCAGTCATGACATGAGTAATAGGTTGCACGGCTGCTCGGTTGGCGCGGTGGCTAGGCAACTGGCTGCCGCGCAACGTTACGCGGCTTCGATGCCCGAACGGAACAACTCTTTGTGTGATCCACAGATTGTTGTTCTAGGTCTGGGTGTCGTGTCTATGTGAATAAGTATGTTTGTATGCACCCACGACACAGAAGAAAATATTAATGGGGGACAAAAGGTTTAACAAAGAAAAATAAATGTGCTCTTTTCTAGCCGAGGAATACAGGCGTGTTAATAATTTTGCATAACATTTGCTGATAGAAACTACGAACCTAAAAATTAGAAAAGGATTTTATCATAGTACCTACCTAAGTTACTAAGTAGCTAGATACAAAAAAATATTAATAACATGATTTATAAGTAGTTCCTTTGTATCTACGTTATGAAACTTTACTGACGTTAAGACTGAAAGACTGCTATACATATTTTGACGTTTGAAAAGTACCTGTTTAGGTTTATTTTGATTTTGACTTTGCAATAAGGCGGTCTTACAAAAAATCTTAGTTAATATTTTTTCTGCATTTTTGATATGTCCAGTAACTGGTTAAGCAGCGATTCGATGCTCGAATTCTTTGCATTTTTTGACCAGCTCTCTCGGCTAGCTCTAGCTACAAATGTGTTATGTGTCCCATAGGCTCAATAAACACATTTTATTTATTTAATTAAGGAATAAAAAACTACAGCTCTCATTCGAACTTCATTATACACACATATGTATTACTTATTAATATTTTGTTCGTGCATATAAAATTTTGTTTGATTAAAACTCACGCCATTAAAGTCAGTTTTAGTCATCACAATACTCGAGCTAAATAAGCTCATTAGACAGTAACGTTATGAGGGTGTAAGTCCCTGCTCTGTATAACAATAGGAACAGAGTTTTATTATTAAACTAACTGCCATTCTTTTGCTCATAAAGGATTTACGTACGTTTGTTATTAAATGACTTAAAAATTATGAGTTACCTACTTATGAATAAAATAAATAATTACTATCTGTATAAATATATTTGAAAGTTATTTCAGATTAGAACGTGAAAAGTTTCGTTACAAGATAGAAATTATATTTAACGCCATCTATCGACAAGTAGCTGAACTTTTTTTACACAATTGATAATTTTTTGTTCAACATCATCAACGTATAAGTGCCCACTGCTGAGCAAAGGCCTCTTCTCACATGGAGAAAGTTTGAGCATTAATCTCATAATATTTGCACTGCACGGCTGGCGCACAGCTGCCAACTGCAAGGCGGATTGGCGATATCAAACTTATAATAAGAAATTATAAGTCAAGGTTTCCTCACGACGTTTTCCTTCCATAGAAAGTACCTGTAGCTCGATTGTTACTTACCAGTTTCTAGCCCGCACCCTCATGCATGAGAAGCGGGCACCTTAACCTCCGGGTCTCCACGACATACCAAGAACTAAGTTATATTTACTTGTAAAATTGTAAATGACGTGTGGTCAGTAAGCAGTAAATAAGCTTACATAACCGCGTCAAGAGTCGCGCTTCACTCTGTAATCCCATTTAAAATCATGCAACATGTTTGTGCTATTTTTACTAACATTCTATTTAAGTATAAATAAGTACATAATACTTGTGTGTACCTTATAATATATTTTCCATTTCCTTAAGTGTAAGTGCTTTACAAAATAAATTGAACTCACATTTACCTAAATTAATACTTTTAATTACTATATTACGGGATATCAATGTTGCTTTTTTAGAATAATATTATAAATTAATTGTTAATTAGCGTAAATTTAGGGTAAATTATTGTTTTAAAAGTGTGTCTGATTCAAAAGACGCGTTATTGTTAATTTACCGGATTACTTGTGTAACAGTGATTTTTACCTACTTTTTTTTTATTAAGGTTCGAAACTTGATCGAAATTTTATAAAACTTTAATTTCTGTTCCCTGAAGTTTGATCAGCTCTTTAGCTACTCGGTTTTCACTAGAGGGCCAGGGTGATTTATTTATTAGGTAAATATTTATGTGTATCTAGTACTCACGCGGTGCGAAGTGGCGACGTGTGCAAGACCGTGCGCAGGAGTGGGCCGCTCGTCGCTCGACTCGTCGCCCGACCGCTCGCCCGTGAACACTGAATCGTGGGACACTGATAGCCCACTGCCGTAGGCGCCCTCCCTGTAACAATAATTGTTAAATGGTTCATTGTTATCCATACTTATATAATATTATAAAGCTGTAGAGTTTGTTTGTTTGTTTAAACGCGCTAATCTCCGGAACTACTCATTCGAATCGAAAAATTATGTTTGTGTTTATTAGTCCATTTATCGAGGAAGCTATAATACATCACGTTACGAGCCGTAGGAGCAGTCAGTGGGTAAAACCGCGGGAGAGTAGCTAATAAATATTATGAAAAGGTAAAATTTGTAAGTTTGTATGTAGGGTGTAATCCTTGGAACTGCTAGTCGGATTGCCAAAATTTAACCTGTTTTAAGATGGGAAAACGTTTTGAAGGAAGGAAAACGGCGGTTTGTAGTCATACGTAGTTATTTTTATAATTTTCATTAGATGTGTAGAAGATAAAGAAGTATATTATTAAGTAACTAACGGAAAATAAATGCCAAAGCTAATAGTCAAAACAAAAGAAAACAAGTATTTTGTTGGACTGCATGCAACAGGCAAACTGTTGCAAGCTTTCGCCGTCGTTCCGCTACTGATCCATAGATGGCGCTACTTGTTGGGTAAATCAAATTCGCACTTTGAAATAATGTTTGCGTCTATTTAAGAAAGAAGAATTCATCTGTTTGATTGGAGCAGAGAGAGAGAGAGAGAGAGAGAGAGAGAGAGAGAGAGAGAGAGTAATGATGGTATTCTATTAATACCTAAAACCCTTCGTCCAATGTGATTTTATATCGCATCTCGCTTGACAGCATGCGAGAGGTATTTAGGTACGACAAGTCTACCATCTTATCACCTTATAAGCCCTTATTAGACCTATTTTAAATACATATTAGTGACTTACTTTCTTCTAGCATGTCGGTCAGCATCCAAGAGTTCGGAGGTAGAACTGCTCTTGGGATCGGGCGAGGCATCTGCGCGTGCGCCGCTGCCGCGACGCTTGAACATGCGCCGGAGGCCCCGGAGGAAACGACCAGTGCGGCCCTCGCCTGGAATATACACGAAAAAGGTTAGAACAGACTGTTGTAGCAATATCATTACATTATTGCAATCTATTTTTCGAGAAATGTCTCAAATTATTGGTGGCAGGTTTTTTGCGGGGGGAAAAGTATTGTTTTTTTTTTAACAAACTTTAGAATTTTATCCCGTTTTTCCATACATTTAAGTGTGGGAGAGCTATGCTTCGGCGCGAATGGGTCGGCTCGACCGGAGTGATACCACGGCCTCACAGAAAGCCGGCGTGAAACAATTACAGCGTTGTGTTTCGCCGTGTGAGTGAGGTTACCGGAGGCCCAATCCTTCCCCTCTCCCAATCCCTCCTCAATCCCTAAATCTCCAAATCCCGAATCCCTAAAAGATCGGCAACGCACTCGTAACTCCTTCGTTGCGGGCTGCGCTAATTGCTTACCATCAGGTAATCAATAAATAAATAAGGTAGGGGAGATAATCTTTGGAACTGTTTGTCGAATTTCCAAAATTCTTTAACTGATAGATAGCTACAATGTTCCTGATTGCTGTAGGCTATAAAACCTCAACATCACGCCCGAATCATCCACGATCTATAGGAGCCGAGCAAGCGAGTAAAACCGAGATTAGCTAGTTTTCAATAAATTCAGTTTACTACGATGTTTTTGTCGATGGTAAAAGTGATGGTAAATCCAAGGATAGGCCAATGACCTAATAAACGATTCTAATTAAATTTTATACCGCAATGAGATTTTATTTGAAGACAGTTTCCCCTAATCATTTCCTTATACACTTTTTATAGCACCAACAAAATTTTAGGGGTTGGTCTCCCCAAGCCGCGAATTATGCGATAGATTTACGGTTATGCCGCTCACTTAATCAGGGGTCAGTGTGCAGTATTCTATTGTTTGTGATTAGGGGAATCCACCCCTCACCAATTGTCGATTTGTCATTCACCAATCAATAGATCAAATAATTTGGAGTGATAAGAGATGCAGTGAGTTTTGGTAAGTTTTTGAATCATCGGTTATAAGTTTTATACGAGTAGTTGCTGGCTGGATCGTATTGGAAGCCAGAGTTACATTTTCTAAGAATTTGTGAATGGTAACTATTTATTAAATATCCAGAGCTTAAGAATCGTTATAGATACTTCAATAATTAGGAATAAAGAACACAGCTACTGATTCTATAGCTCTATATCTTAATACCATCCCATAGCAACATTGATTTCAGATATTCTATAGTTCATCAAGATCCATACAGATGCCGTATAGCATAGTTAGTGTGGCTATAAAAATATTGTCATAACTATAACTATTATTTATAAGTTTTCCTTTAAGTTCCTCCATTGAAGTTTGTATTTCGTATTAAGTTTGTTAGACTTTTGAAAGTTTTTCAATGCTTAACTTATTCTAGTAGAATAAAGACTTGTCTTCTTAAAAATAAAATTTCAAGGAGACAGAAAAGTTTTAGTGGCTATAGCAAATGTAACCTTAATAAGTACGTAATTAGGTATAGTATGTGTTGAGAACTTACCATGGTTGTGTGTGTCGGTGACGGGCGGTCGGTATGGCGGCTCCAGCGAGCCCTCGCGCACACACGACATGAGGCCTCCGCCGCCGCCGCCCGACATCCGATCCCGCTCCTGAAATACAAACAACAAACTTTATCAAAAACCGTATGTAAACGTAAAGAATGCTTTTTTATTAGGAGAAAATCATCCAATGACTTCTCTCACAATCAGAAAAATCGCATTGCTGCCTAAGTCTAACGAAAAGAAGTCTCATCAAGTAACTTCTCTTGCCTAGGGTGAGGCGAGAGGGAGTGTCAGACTCTTACTGACTAAAAACCACTTCGTCTTTTCTCCTGCTTTAGACTGAGGCCGCAGTGCCTTATTGCGCTAGCTCTGCAATACTGTATGTAAACTTATTTTGTTGGGGGGTATCATCAATAAATGTCTTCTGTTTGAGGGAGTGTCAGACTATTACTGACTAAAAACGACCTCGTTCC